ATACCCGGTTCCCTAATTTTCCCACAGAGCCACCACCAGATCATGCGCCGTGAAACAGATGCGCCCTCGTTGTGTTGCCTACCCGCCAGGCAGTCGGCATCTTGCTACCGGGCTTCACTGAGGCTTCACCGCCCTGCGCTCGTCCACTCATTGTGTCAATGCTCAATGAGTCCTTGCGCCGCCCATTGAGGTTTGCTGGGCTTTTCCGAACCCCTGTGGCGGGACAGGGAGAAGCTTTTGTCAACACCAAGTGAAACCTGCAATCAAACATACCACTATAAGAGCATTAAATGTAATTCGGGCCCAAAAATGAAAGCGCAGGGAATGCAGAAGAATTGCAAACTAAATGACCTAACAGGAAGGGTCTAACTTTTTTTGGAATTTGCCTTGAACCTTAGCTAAATGGATAGGCCTTACATGTTTTTAGGCAATAAAGAACGTCCCCCGAACATTCCTATCAGAAATTGCGCGGTCGAAATGGGTTTGATCATGCGTTGGTATAATAGAGTGTCGAGCCCTGCAAGGTTCCGGCGATTAGGCCACTCCTCCATTCTCCGAGCACAACGCATTTGCAAGTACCGGAAGAGGGGGGGGGTGATTTTTTAAGGTTTGTTCTTTTTTTGTTTTTTTTTATTTTTTTTTTTTATTTTATTTTTTTTCGCACAAAGAGAGTAGGTAGACGTCCACCACCTTCCCGCTCCTGACTTCTTGAGCCGACTTATGATTTTTCGGTTCGCAAACTCGCGCCCAGCTTTTGTCAAGGCGCTGCCGCCCACAACGATTACAGCTGGCCTCCACTCCTCACCTCAGGCGCCACATCTGCGCGTCTCGCTCCCCAACTGACCGTTTTCGCGACACATATCCGGACTTCTTCTTGATTGCTCGATCGCGTCTAGAATTTTCGTCGCGAGCACAGAAACAATCCATTCATCATCGCCCGCTAAATCAGGTGCTGCGCAGTCCCTCAAATAACCCCCTATAACCAAGTTAACCACTCCGCGAGATTTTATAAGCTGCCATAATCCAGCACCTTCAGGGCCCCCTGCCCATCCACCCACTGGGGGTACCCGTCCAAACTGAGAGTCTTTTGCCCAAACCTCTGGCGCCTCACAGAACCTCACTTAGAAAGAAGAGATCCATGACTATTACTGGAACGATCAGTCGTCACACAAATTTGATCAATCCTCTATGGGAGAAGCTGTCTTGATCATCCACCGACAGTGAACTACGATGACATATAGAAAAACTAAAAAAAATACAAGATGGATTTCCCCTGGGACAATGTCAGCCACCGGTGGCTGACATTGCGCAATCGTCTCTGCCGGCGCTGGTCCGAACGGGCAGTCTTCGAAAATCCCGCCCGGTCGCGAGTGGGTTAAAGAGCCGGAAAAAGGTGGATGGAGGTGGGTGGAGGAGTGGAGGCCAGCTGTCAATGGTGGGCGGGGCTTGACCAAAGTGGGCGGAGTTTGCGACGAAAATTCATAACTCGGCTCCAAGAAGTCCCGGAGGCCGGGAAAAAGGTGGATGGAGGTGGGTGGAGGAGTGGAGGCCAGCTGTCATGGTGGGCGGGCTTGACCAAAGTGGGCGGAGTTTGCGACGAAAATTCATAACTCGGCTCCAAGAAGTCCCGGAGGCCGGAAAAAAAGGTGGATAGAGGTGGGTGGAGGAGTGGAGGCCAGCTGTCAATGGTGGGCGGGGCTTGACCAAAGTGGGCGGAGTTTGCGACGAAAATTCATAACTCGGCTCCAAGAAGTCCCGGAGGCCGGGAAAAAGGTGGATGGAGGTGTGGTGGAGGAGTGGAGGCCAGCTGTCAATGGTGGGCGGGGCTTGACCAAAGTGGGCGGAGTTTGCGACGAAAATTCATAACTCGGCTCCAAGAAGTCCCGGAGGCCGGGAAAAGGTGGATGGAGGTGGGTGGAGGAGTGGAGGCCAGCTGTCAATGGTGGGCGGGGCTTGACCAAAGTGGGCGGAGTTTGCGACGAAAATTCATAACTTGGCTCCAAGAAGTCCCGGAGGCCGGGAAAAAGGTGGATGGAGGTGGGTGGAGGAGTGGAGGCCAGCTGTCAATGGTGGGCGGGGCTTGACCAAAGTGGGCGGAGTTTGCGACGAAAATTCATAACTCGGCTCCAAGAAGTCCCGGAGGCCGGGAAAAAGGTGGATGGAGGTGGGTGGAGGAGTGGAGGCCAGCTGTCAATGGTGGGCGGGGCTTGACCAAAGTGGGCGGAGTTTGCGACGAAAATTCATAACTCGGCTCCAAGAAGTCCCGGAGGCCGGGAAAAAGGTGGAGGAGGTGGGTGGAGGAGTGGAGGCCAGCTGTCAATGGTGGGCGGGGCTTGACCAAAGTGGGCGGAGTTTGCGACGAAAATTCATAACTCGGCTCCAAGAAGTCCCGGAGGCCGCGGAAAAGGTGGATGGAGGTGGGTGGAGGAGTGGAGGCCAGCTGTCAATGGTGGGCGGGGCTTGACCAAAGTGGGCGGAGTTTGCGACGAAAATTCATAACTCGGCTCCAAGAAGTCCCGGAGGCCGGGAAAAAGGTGGATGGAGGTGGGTGGAGGAGTGGAGGCCAGCTGTCATCGGTGGGCGGGGCTTGACCAAAGTGGGCGGAGTTTGCGACGAAAATTCATAACTCGGCTCCATGAAGCTCCGGAGGCCGGGAAAAGGTGGATAGAGGTGGTGGAGGAGTGGAGGTTAACTGTCATCGGTGGGCGGGGCTTGGCCAAAGTGGGCGGAGTCTGCGACGAAAATATAAAACTCGGCTCCAACAAGTCCCGGAGGCCGGGAGAAAGGGAGTAGAGGCCGGCAAAGGAAAGGAGGTCAACTGCTATTAGTGGGCGGAGCATGCACATATTGGGCGGAGTTTGCCAAAAGTGTCGTAATTTGGTTCCAAGAGGTCCCAGAGACCGGTGAAAAAAGGGGTAGAGGTCGGCGAAAGAAGGGGGCCAAATGCTATTGGTGGGCGGGGCACGCACCGAAGTAGGCGGAGTTTGCCCACGAGATTTATTGTCCGGAAGCAGTCCGGAGACCGAGAAAAAGAGGATAATGGTTGACGAAGAAAAAAGGTTGAAAGCCGTCGATGATGGAGCGGATTGAATTTAGCTGAGGATTCAGATATTCGTAGTGTATCAAGCCAAATATGAAAATTTTTGTCGCACCATCAAAGTTCGCCGCAGATCTGTGTTGCGCGCGCAATGCGTGCGGCGCCAACTGGTATATATAAGTCTCTAATGCGTGGGTAAGGCGGCTCCCTATTGTCGCTATCCGAGCAGTGGTAGTGTGTGGACCCAATGCTGAAAATGGGAGCAGGAAAGGAAGCGACTTTACACTTTTTGAAGCGCGACACTTTATTTTCATGAATCTCAATCTCAACCAGTCTTGGCTGATTTTTAAGTTACCAATGTCAGGATTTTTGCAGGGTAAGAAGCGTATTGGATCCTGAGGCACCAAGTGCAAAAT